GCACCGTCCTCCTCTTGCCATGCTTTGTCTCACAAACGTCCGCCCCCTCCATGCGCGTATGCCTGGTTTCCACAGGCTCCTGCGGCCGGGATCGCGGGCGTAGGGGGGGGCGAGAAGGGCGTGATGAGGAATGCTTGGCGATGGATAGGGAAGGGGCTCTTGAGAGGACTCAGGAGGGGGAGGACGAGGAGGAAAAGGAAGAAGAGCCCGAATGCAGGTGCTCAGTACGGGGAAGGGAACAGTGTGAGTGGGCTGGTGGGGGGGGGGAGGGGGAAGGACAGAGCAGGCATTGTGTCGAGCCACAGGGAGATATTGGACGAGGAGGCGAAAGGAATGTGCGAAATTGGGACGGAGACAGGGAGGGAAGGACTTTATGGGTATTGAGGCAAAGAGTACGGGAGTGGGGGCAAGGGGGAAAGAAAAGCAGGTGTCTGTTGGAGGGACGGCAAAGGTCTCTACAAGCCGTGAGAGCGAAAATGCGCAAGAGAAAGGAAAAGGCATGAAATACAGCGAAATGGCCAGGCGCAGGAGGGTGGTGGCGCGTTGGTTTGTTGTCTGGACGAAAAACAAAAGGTGATGTGTCTTATACTGTGAAGTTGGCAGGGCAAGAGATACACGTTGGTCCCAGAGATCGCAGCAGTCACGGCGAGTGGAAGGGTCCATGTCTCAAAAAAAAAGTAAATTAGTTGCAGTGTTTTGCCGAAAAAGAAAAATTAAGAAAGGTGAATATCCTCTTGATACTACCGTTCCAGATGATTCTTTGTTTTCAGGTTGGCGCCGATAATCCTAAAGGGTGTAGCACGTCGAGTGATGGCCTCAAAAAGGAGTTTTGAGTATGCAAGAAGGCTGAAATTTGCTTTCAGATTTTACTTCCTGTGACATGCTTTATCAAAGCCCTGTTGTTCACGTGACCTCAGACAAAGGTACGGAAAAAATGTCCACAATGGCGCCTCTTCACAAATTAAAGCCGTCTACGCAAAATTTACTCCCAAAAAATTGCTTTGTAGTATTTACATTTCACCAATGGGAAATCCAGTCATCGTCCAACCTCACCAACGAGTCGAAAGTACCAGAGCACCTTAAAAATTTACATTGGACGCGCAATTACCCCTAAGCAGGGGCGAAAAATGCCCCGCCGTGCCACACCGTCAGCCCCAGAACATGTCTCGTGGTCTCGGAGACATGGCCTCGGCGATTTTTTGGGCTTTCTGTGTGACCTATTAAAAAAGGTTCAACAACCTCGCTACCTCTCCTTGTCCCTGTCACCGCTTTTCTCCCAACGGCTCCCTCGTCCCACCCCCAAACCCGCACAAACTACATACATAACTGGACAACGTACCGCGCGCGGGGGCCAGGAGGGCATGACGCACGTCACGCGCGCCTGGGTGGTAATTGTGGGGATTGCGTCCCATGGTTGTGCGATGTCCGGGGTCGGAGTCTCGCCGACGCCACAGACGCACGTCGAATCCTCCATAATCTATCTGTCTTCGGGGGGGGGCGCGTTTCTGACCGACTTTGGTGCAGGTTTTCTGGTGGAGAAACCTACCACATGTCATCCATCTGTCGGTTTTGTCCGCGTCATACCGCGCGAGGCCCATGGTAGGGCTCGTTTGGGTTACTTTCAGGGGAGAAAGGCGTACCCGCAGGAGAGGCATAGAAGTTCAAGTACTTTTCTTATAGGCGACGGGAGGACGACAAAGCAGTCCAGCCTCCTGAATGTTGTTCGCGTTTTCATGCGCCGAATGCCACGGTGATGTTATGGCTCCACTTTCCATGTTCACGGACTACCAAGCCGCACGATCAGTGTCGTGGCATTTTGGGTCCTGGTTTTTCCTTACAATATCAACTTCCCTTTTTCTATTCAGGAAAGGCGAGGTGGTATCCCACAAGCAAACCCCTCATCTTGCCGTCGAGACGAGTTTATTCCTTCATCACCGCACACGTTTGCTCATGCACGTGTTTCACGGCAATTTGTAGAGGTTATTTTTGAGACCTAATTTTCATGTCTGGCCCCTCCGGCTCCCGTCAACCCCCTCAGACGTTGGAAGAAACGCATATTGGTACGTAAATAGCTTTTGTCTCCGGGCATACAGCTTGCCACTCTTGTACTTTCCACGGTCATATCTCTGTGAACTTTCTGTTTAAGGATGCGTATCCTGTGCTTTCATGTATTCTCTGACGTTTTTATCATGCTTGTGTCCGCTTTTCCTCCCAGGCGGTGGCAAACGGAGGCGCGGCCCCATGCCTGAAGACCCGTCCGGACAACTTCATATGCAAGAACCCGGTGCACAGCATGTGCAGCAAAGTCAAGGATTGTACAGGAACGCAACGTGCCCCGAGTACAACTGGCCCCGTTCATCCCATGATGCGGGAGGAGGAGGAGGCGGGGGAGGGAAAGCGAGCGATTTGACGGGCCGGACCGTTGACGGCTCGCACTTAGGTCGGCTGAATATGTCAGGGGATCATGTCTTGCCGCACTCGATGGGAAGAGAAGGGAGGCCGAATCGAAGCGGGGGAGGAGAGGAGTATGGATGGGGGTCTTCCACGCAGGAAAGCTTCCCGCCTCCTCACCCCCGCCACGCCGGGCAGGCGGTAGGTTCGACGGCCGAGACCCCATCGCGCGGCGTCGGGGAGGGGGGAAGGGACGAGGTTGAATTATGGCGCGAACGACGTGGTGATGGGGTCGTATGTGGGAAATCTCGGCTGCGGTCGCAGCTGCCTTACCTCCTCCCCCCCCGTCCCTCCTCCTCACCCTCCGCACAGACCTCGCTGATGCCAGGAAGGCCCTCCCACGACACGGTCGGCTCCATGCTCTACCCACCCTCCTCCTTCCCCGCCTCCTACCCCTCCGCCCTCCCCAGCTTTGCCTCGTCGGAGCGTTGCCCTCTGGGCGGGCTGGGCAGCACGCATCCTCACGAACTTCCGCCCCACCATTCCCAGCAACAACAGCAGCCCTCCCTGTCTCCCAACACGTGTGTAGGCTTGAAAGACACCGTA